CATCAGCATTTCACATGCATACACGCTTAGAAAAAACTCATTCGACGGCCATTTCGAACAGCAGTGAGGAAAACCAAGCTGGAGGAGATATACAGTGCACGCACCACGCAACACACGGGCAGGAAAAAAAAGCATTTAATTTACTTTTGCAGTTGAGTTTACAGCGACCCCCAACACTGCGATTTTCCAAGCCGATGAATTTGTGCACAGGCAGTCGAAATGGTTTCTCTACATTTTAAAATGTCAAAAAAAAAAGAGCAAAACAAGAAAATATGAAAAAAAAAACAACAATGGGCTATTCAAATTATTTCTAAATTTCATAAATTATATTTAAACAAAAAATGCCTTGAGGCAGCAAAAACGTCTTTTTGCGAATGCTGATGTTTATCCAGGAAGAACTCAGTAGATTCGTGGACATTCACTGATCGATGGTCATTTAAGAGCTTTTTTTTCAACCAACCAAAATTCGACTTTCAAACTAAACAGAACATCTGATCGGTTTGAATGCTTAAAACATGCAATCGCGAGGACTTGGTCAAGCTAAAAATCAACCCCCCCCCTCCCTTTGTCCCCCACCTCGTCTTCATTTTCAGTGAAAAATATGGAGACACGAGGAATATTGAAGTGGTAGTACGTGCCAAAAGCAACCACCTCCAGGCAAAGTTGTATTTTATGAAGATCAGTATTTTTAAAAAAATTAGTAATAAAAAGTGCAATTGTGTAATAACAATTAGATGAAAGCGACGCAGCCATATACTTTTCTGATGCTCAGTATCTTCTCAATTTTTAAAATGCAAGGTGAAAAAAAAACAATCATAAAAAGAGGCGAATTCGAATTCCCGGGTATTTGTTCCGCAGGAAGACCACTGACTATTTTTTTTTTTTGGCCAAGTGATAACAAAGAGAAGAAACCGGCACGGTATGGCACCCGTGCGAAATGAATGTGATATGGGTAAAACAGTTCACAATTGGACGATAACTGAGTGACTAACGTTTCTGCTGGCAATG